ACTTCATACATTCACACAGAGAGAATGTAAATAAGATTACGTCATACATTCACAGAGATAATGTAAAATAGATCACGTCATACATTCACACAGATAATGTAAACTAGATCACGTCATACATTCACACAGACAATGTAAACTAGATCACTTCATACATTCACACAGAGAGAATGTAAACTAGATCACTTCATACATTCACACAGAAAATGTAAACTAGATCACTTCATACATTCACACAGAAAATGTAAACTAGATCACATCATACATTCACACAGAGAGAATGTAAATTAGATCACTTCATACATTCACACAGACAATGTAAACTAGATCACTTCATACATTCACACAGAGAGAATGTAAACTAGATCACTTCATACATTCACACAGAAAATGTAAACTAGATCACTTCATACATTCACACAGAAAATGTAAACTAGATCACATCATACATTCACAGAGGCAATGTAAACTAGATCACTTCATACATTCACACAGAGAGAATATAAACTAGATCACTTTATACATTCACACAGAAAATGTAAACTAGATCACTTCATACATTCACACAGAAAATGTAAACTAGATCTCCTTCATACATTCACAGAGAGAATGTAAACTAGATCACGTCATACATTCACACAAATAATGTAAACTAGATCACTTCATACATTCACACAAAGAATGTAAACTAGATCACTTCATACATTCACACAGAGAGAATGCAAACTAGATCACTTCATACATCCACAGAGGGAATGTAAACTTGATCACTTCACACATTCACACAGAGAGAATGTAAACTGGATAACGCCATACATTCACAGAGAGAGTGTAAACTAGATCACATCATACATTCACACAGAGACAATGTAAACTAGATCACTTCATACATTCACACAGAAAATGTAAACTAGATCACATCATACATTCACAGAGACAATGTAAACTAGATCACTTCATACATTCACACAGAGAGAATGTAAACTAGATCACTTCATACATTTACACAGATCTAATGTAAACTAGATGACATCATACATTCACACAGAGAATGTAAACTAGATCACTTCATACATTAAGACATAATGTAAACTAGATCACTTAATACATTCACGCAGAGAAAGTGTAAACTAGATCTCCTTCATACATTCACACAGAGAAAGTGTAAACTAGATCACTTCATACATTCACAGAGAGAATGTAAACTAGATAACGCCATACATTCACAGAGAGAGTGTAAACTAGATCACATCATACATTCACACAGAGACAATGTAAACTAGATCACATCATACATTCATAAAGAGAATGTGAACTAGATCACTTCATACATTCACAGATCTAATGTAAACTAGATCACATCATACATTCACACAGAGATAATGTAAACTAGATCACTTCATACAGTTACGCAGAGAATTTAAACTAGATGACATCATACATTCACACAGAGAATGTAAACTAGATCACTTCATACATTAAGACATAATGTAAACTAGATCACTTAATACATTCACGCAGAGAAAGTGTAAACTAGATCTCCTTCATACATTCACACAGAGAAAGTGTAAACTAGATCACTTCATACATTCACAGAGGGAATGTAAACTAGATCACTTCATACGTTCACACAGAGAATGTAAACTAGATTACATCATACATTCACAGGGAGAATGTAAACTAAATCACATCATACATTCACACAGAGAATGTAAACTAGATCTCCTTCATACATTCACACAGAGAGAATGTAAACTAGATCACTTCACACATTCACACAGAGAAAGTATAAACTAGATCACGTCATACATTCACAGAGAGAGTGTAAACCAGATCACTTCATACATTCACAGACATAATGTAAATTAGATCACTTCATACATTCAAACAGAGAGAATGTAAACTAAATCACTTAATACATTAACACACAGAAAGTGTAAAATAGATCTCCTTCATACATTCAAAGAGAATGTAAACTAGATCACTTCATACATTCACAAAGAGAATGTAAACTAGATCACTTCATACATTCACACAGAGAGAATGTAAACTAGATCACTTCATACATTCACACAGAGAGAATGTAAACTAGATCACTTCATACATTCACAAAGAGAATGTAAACTAGATTGTAGCGGAGATCTAGTATTCCACAAGTTATCTCCGCTTAAGATCCCAGTGAGGCTCAGGAACAAGTAATTATAAATCCATAAAGCAAGGTTTCCAGCAGGTAAATAATAAAGCAGTATCCCAACAGCAATCCCAATAACTGGACGACACACAGCATCAGGAGCAGAACTAAACTTTTATTTCACAGTGGCCTTATAAAGCATGCTCCCATGCAAGGGAGGGATTTCCATTAATTTGTACAGTATCCAATCCTGTTCTGGTAACCTCCCACACATCTCCTCCCCTCAGCTTGACTCATAATCCCCTTATACAGTACACAAATTCCCCCAGTTTCTGGATGTACCCCTAAACCTTGGGGTACCCCTTTAAATAGCACATCCCCTGGTAGCCCTGATCCGGGTGAGCAACATATCCAAAAATCACCCAGATCGGACCAGGGGTTCGGGAAATTTATGGAGGTAATGAAAAGACCGACCGCGCTGGAGAGAACAGCCGAATTGGGTTCCATGCGATGGGGCCCTGCGGTCGGTCACAGTATAAGGGAACAAACTGCACGAAAGGCTAAGGTTACAGAGATCAGGGAGGGTTCGCATGAATCCCCTCGTTCGGTTGTTTCTTTCTACCGAACGAGGGGCCGTTCGGTAGTTTGGAAGCGAACGTATCGTGCGTATGGAGGTCTCAGCGGTGTTTGCCTAGTCGAGTGTATGATTTGGGTTCCAGACACTCGACGGCAAAACACCGCTGTTCGGGAATTTTAAAATGGCCGTCGCCACATGTTCGTTTCCCGAATGGCGGCCACCCCGAGAACAAAGGACCTACTGCACAGCTTGTCAATTACCCGTTCGCAACATTGTTGCAACGCGTAATTGAAGGCACACTTCACACAGGGGAGGTCTGACTGTTCGGTAGTTTCATTCCCTTAGTTGCTAGAATGATTCTACCGAACAATCAAACGAATACAAGTTATTTATACACATATAATCCTGCAATTTACACGAATACATTCAAACATATGCAATTTCCAGGACAGCCCAGTGCCATCCGCTACATAGATCACTTCATACATTCACAGAGGGTGTAAACTAGATCACGTCATATATTCACAGAGGGTGTAAACCAAATCACTTCATACATTCACAGATCTAATGTAAACTAGATCACGTCATACATTCACAAAGAGAGAATGTAAATTAGATCCCTTCATAGATTCACAAAGAGAATGTAAACTAGATCCCTTCATACATTCACAAAGAGAATTTAAACTAGATCACTTCATACATTCACAGACATAATGTAAACTAGATCACATAATACATAGAGAATGTAAACTAGATCACGTCATACATTTACAGAGAGAATGTAAACTAGATCACATCATACATTCACAGAGAGAATGTAAACAAGACCACTTCAGACAGTCACATAGAGAATTTAAACTATATCACTTCACACATTCACACAGAGATAATGTAAACTAGATCACTTCATACATTCACAGAGAGAATGTAAACTAGATCACATCATACATTCACAGAGAAATTAGATCACTTCATACATTCACAGATCTAATGCAAACTAGCTCACTTAATACATTAACACACAGAGAGTGTAAATAGATCTCCTTCATACATTCACAAAGAGAATCTAAACTAGATCACATCATACATTCATACAGAGAATGTAAACTAGATCACATCATACATTCACAGAGAGAATGTAAACAAGACCACTTCAGACAGTCACATAGAGAATTTAAACTATATCACTTCACACATTCACACAGAGATAATGTAAACTAGATCACTTCATACATTCACAGAGAGAATGTAAACTAGATCACATCATACATTCACAGAGAGAGAATGTAAATTAGATCACTTCATACATTCACAGATCTAATGCAAACTAGCTCACTTAATACATTAACACACAGAGAGTGTAAATAGATCTCCTTCATACATTCACAAAGAGAATCTAAACTAGATCACTTCAAACATTCACACAGAGAGAATGTAAACTAGGTCACTTCATACATTAAGACAAAATGTAAACTAGATCAATTAATACATTCCAGTGGCGTCTCTAGGATTCATTTTTCGGGGGGGCACATGGAGGGCCAGTGACAAAAGTAGGGGGGCACATTTAACCCCGCCCTCGTCGCAGTTTAACCCCGCCCCTGTCGCATGTTAAGCCACGCCCCCGACACAATGTGTTTTGTTTTTTTAATAATACCTGGTGGAGGATTCATTATTTTCCACCAGGGATTATTAAAAAAACAAACACATTACCCTTGATACAGTGCCATAGTTGCCAACATTTGAAAAAAAATTTCCAAGGACATTTTGCAGCACAGCTATCAATTACTGTCTAGGTATAATATCCCTGGACAGTCAGTGCTCTCTGTATAATACAGGGTTGTGTGTATAATAAATTGGGACACTCAGTGCTCCCTGTATAGTGCTGCTCTCTGTATAATACCAAGACAGAGAGCAGCACTATACAGGAAGCACTGACTATCCCGGGATATTTTATACACACAGATCTGTATTATACAGATAGTATGGGGGACAGTGTGTGTGTATGGGAGGCTGTATGGGGGCAGTGTGTGTGTATGGGAGGGCGGTATGGGGACAGTGTGTGTGTATGGGGGGGCGGTATGGGGACAGTGTGTGTGTATGGGAGGCGGTATGTGGGGCAGTGTGTGTGTATGGGAGCAGTGTGTGTGTGTACACCCCCCCCCCCAGCCTACCTGTCACCTGTGGGGGTCAGGCAGCCATCTTCAGCAGCAGCATGGGCTGCTGCATAACGGCGGGGGCGGGGCTTATCGGCGGGAGGTGGGGCTTCATTTGGGGGCGGAGCCTGTGCCGGGGAGCCAATCAGTGCTCCCTCCAGCCACAGACAGCCTCCAGCACCTCAGCACTGCATTCCCTCGGGCTGTAACAGGCTGTTACAGTCCGAGGGAAGCAGATGGCCAGCTAGTTGCCAGCATTTGGGGGGGCCCAAGGGGGGGCACAGCATCATGTAGGGGGGGCCATGGCCCCCTCTGGCCCCCCCCTAGCGACGCCACTGAATATAACAACAAACTCATCTAGTGCTTGGCTGAGCCTGATAGGAATATTAGTCCACAATATAGTTATATAGCATCTCACAAATTTAATGCACATGAAAAACAATACTTATGATTGCACTTGAATTAATACAGCCTTAAAGTATTATTTATTTTGTTCATATGAATCTCTAAATCTCATTAAAACCACCCATCTCTATGGGCAGTTGGGTGGATGGGGGGTGAAATTTAAATTTTCTATTCAATGCTTCTGTGTGAGAAGCATTTGACTGCACTAACAAGGGCAAAAAGGGTTATAAATATAGCTGCAGAAGCTATTTGTGCAGCTAATGAAAATATTTTTAGGGCTTCTGAAATTTATTTGCAATATTTAAGAGTTTCAATTTAATAACGATTTACATTTATGGACTTGCAGCTCTGATCCAGCTTTAGATTGTTCTCTTTATCATATTCCTTATCTAAAAACTGCACATACCTATATAAAGGTTTGATACCAAAATATCCAATAATGTACCTTCCAAGAGACCAAGCAGGTAGAAAAATGATTTATTTAATATTTTTTTTTTTTTTGAGGGGGGGGGGGGAGGTATAAGTGTAATGTTCTATTTTTTATAGTATTTGGTAGAAAATGTTAGAGGTTAAATGTAGAGGTTAATAGAGGTATTTGTTTATACAAGGTTGTGCTATAAAGATGATTTATAACTGGTACTTTCTTTGATAACACCGAGCAACAGTTTTATAAATCAGAAAAAATTATGATTAACTTATTAATTTTCCAAAAAGAGCACCCAACAATTTCAAAGTATTTTAAAACAAATTGCAGCATTTAAAATCATCAAAATTAATTTTAAGCGATAGATGCAGCACATAAAACAAACAAAAATCCATTTGTAAGGATGAATCAAAGTGAGGTGAATCAATAATGATGGTGACGGCATGTTTTATGTCATGGTGGGGTTAAAAACATCCTTATTTTACCCATACTCATAAGTATCTAAAATAATTTCATACTTGACAGATACTGGTAACAACAGATACTACTTGTCAAATGTGTACATTCACAGCCTTTCTTGTGCGTTTGCAGCAAGGAAAAAAATCTGGAAAATGTACCTGTGGCTTTATTGTAGTGATAGATACCTCCAAACAAACTTCTCTTCACCACACCACTTTGAATTTTCTGTGACACATTTCAAGATCACTTACAACAAGGTTATACAGATGCATCCATATTAAGTGTAGCTATTCACCAGGACGTATTGACTATATTTCTGTGCCAAGTAAACAAAGTTCTATTCAAGCCAGTATTTGCATTAACCCATTAATAAACAAACATGGACTGTTGGACACAAAGTATGGTTACATCTGTACAAGAAGGAGTTTATATAGTTGAGAGCCAGGAAGAAGTGCTGCACTTTGCATTTTGTTACTTATCCTTCTGACTTAGAACATACATGGCAAGTCGGACAAAGTGTAAAACAACATTAATATAGAATAATAATTTGCTTTAAAAATGTCACTCTAAGCACCATGGACACTACAGGTTATTACAGTGGTTATGAGACAAAGAGTCTTGGGTGTGATATTTTGTCTAAGTACTTTTGAGAAGTTTCCCAAATAAATGAGTCTTTTTCAGCCCCCAAAAAACAAGACCTTGTATACTGCTCAGATAATATGAAAATTTCCTTTTTGCATCATCTATTCAAAGCAGTTTAATCTGGGATTGCTCGCTTAAACAGTCACCACTCTTGCCGTCCACTGGATAACTTAGGCTGGATAATGACAAAATGAAGCAGAGGGCCAAGCTTGGTGTGCAGGGAGATCCCCAGTTTTGTCAATGTGCTTGAAAATGTTTGACAAAAAAATGGCAAAGATGCGACCAAAAGCTCCTTACACCATAACTACACAATAAGCTGTGGTGTTTATGGTATTTAGAGTGTTCCTTTAAGCACTTTGTATGCAACTGGAACATTCTAAATGTATTGAAGATTTGCATTTGTAAATTCATAAGCTACATTGCCATAATAATACTGTTTTTTTTTTCAAAGGGTAGAATAGTTTAATAAAAATGAAGGGAAACTTTAATTTCAGACGGAAAAGACAAGTCATTCCTACATGAATGGACACGTTGGTGGAATTACAATAGTTCATATATGCACAATGGTGACAAGGTCATCATATAAAAAGACAAAACAGACATTAAAGCCTTTGGTACAGTACACTTAAATTAATGCAGCACATAAGTTGACAAAACCGATAACCTCAGTAACCCAATGAAACATGACGTTCATAGTGAAATGTGAGACTGGACAATGGTACATCAATAAATGCTGAGCTTTTAACTTTTACAAACTAACACTTAATTCACATTTTCTCAGAGCTATCACAAAACCAATTAGCAGCGCTCAGACTAGTAATCAATTTTACTTTTCACAAATGGAAACGATCACAAAAAATATTTTTGCATCTAGGTTTTGTCTTTTTCAACTAAGATGTATTGCACTGAGTCTGGGTATGCTTCAGTTCCAAAACAGAATTCCTTGAACATAATGCACTTGTGTAGAACAAAAAATAAAACCTAATAAAATAAAATTGTATAAAAATAGAAAACATATTACTAAGAGACCAAAACTTCCATTGGTCAGCAGTCAACATACTGCAATATATTTTGATGCAGATTTTTAACTCCATACAACGGTGTAGCTCTACCATTTTTGAGGCTTCTTCTTTTATGTGGATTTCATTGTAGAGTAACAAATTCCCTGCATTTTTCGAACCAACATAGACTAAGGCAAAAACAATCTTGATGAACTACACAAAATGCAGGCCTTTAGAAATCTTCTTTTCCTGAAAAAAAAAAAAAAAAAGAAATAAGACACTTAAGATAAATATATAATCGGATGTTGTAAATATAAAATCACAGCAAATATTAAACTAGCCACAAAAAGTTTAATGTCTACTGCAGGGGTAAGCAACCTTCGGCACTCAAGATATTGTGGACTTTTACCATGAGGCTTTGCCAGCCGGCGGATACAGGAAACAGAACTCCTGTATGCGGTCCTTGCCGCCCGACCACGCTACACTGAGGTAGGAGACACACAAGGGGAGGGGATGGGAGGGAGAGAGACCACCAGGGGTGGATGGGGGGGAGCGTCCACCAAGAGAGGGAGAGACACCACCAGGGAAGGGGGAGAGGAGAGACCACTAAGGTTCAGGGGGAGAGTCACTTTAGAAACAGGGAGGCTGAGGAGGCGTAGGGACAGGAGGGAAAGATTACTAAAGAGACACACAGAGGGGCTCAGGAGGGAGACGCACAGAGGGACTTGACCTAAAACATACAATGCATCACTACTCACACACCAAAACATACACTGAATCCTACACACACACAGAAACAAACCATGCATCCTTTACACACACAATGCATTCCTCACAAACACACACAATGCAGCCCTTGAACACATACACAGAAGCACACAATGCATCCCTTACACACACACACACTGCTTCTCTTGTTGTATCTCTTACACACACACTGCATTACATTACATACAAAGAAATACACTGCATCCCCTATACAAACACACTACATCCCTTACACAAACAGGTATCCCTATACACTACATTTCATAAGAACACACACACACGTTACATCCTCTACAATAACACATAACATCCCCTACACACATATACTCCACTCCCTGTGAGCAAACTCATGGGTATGCATTGTAGGCATAAGGCTTATGGGCGGGCTTTGAAGGCATACTCACGTTCAGGCCCTGGGGGCCCAGACCATGATCTGTGTAAAGGACCCCAAAAAATGAAGCTGCTACCTGTTCATTGATTTTTGTGAGCACTGCCTCCAGAGAGCCTGTTTTAACACCAGACCAGTGGAGCCAGACTGCAGCCTGAGCCCATAATCGTCCTCTTGTCCTCATCTGGTGGTAAGTAGGCAATCCAGTATATTATTAGTAGCACTAACTCTAATTTACCTCACATTAAAGAGACACTATAGTCACCAGACCCACTACAGCTTAATGTAGTGGTTCTGGTGTCTATAGCCTGTCCCTGCAGGCCTTTTAGTGTAAACACAGTGCCTTTTCAGAGAAAAGACACTGTGTGGGGCACTGGTGTTGGCTCATTTGGCAGATCAAATGAGTGGGTTATTGTGATGTCACATGGTGGGCAGAGCATATGGGGTGGTGGCAAAAATCCTTGCACTGGCCCTGGTCATGTGTTTGACCTGATTTTAGGAGTACTCCATATGATTTCAGAATATTTTCGCATAACTATCTCAAAGCTAAAAATTAAGGGCTAAACCTAACCAGACTGCATTGTTAATTCTTTCCAAACACTGCAGTAAAAATCCCCAACTTGTATTTAATTAGAGTAAAAATCAATAGTTTAGTTAAGCTAAATTCCCCTACACAACCCATGTGAAATCAATGCTGTGCATATTTAAATTTTACAGTTTTTTTTTTTTTTTATAGAAATAGCAAGAGAAAAATATTAAAAAAGACGTGCCCTAACAATTTCAGATTGCTTTGCCTGCCCATTTATCATTTAGGTGCAGGTTAGCTAGCATTCTATAAATTCAAACTTAAGTAAGCAATCCATGCTTGGCAGGTATGCACAGGTAGAAAAACACAGTGTGCCCAAGAAAATAAATAAATAATCCTCATTTTTTCCAAATGGTATTGCTAGTGTTGGACGCCGAAAAGGCATTCAACCGCATCAGCTAGACATACATGTAGGCTACCCTATGCAAGTTTGGTTTCTTTGGCTACCCTTGTACAATAAGCCTTGAACAAAAATCTCGAATTCGGGCTTTACTTGTAAGTCATTCAAGATTACCAATAATTTTTGCCACGGGTGCCCTCTCTCACCCCTAATTCTATCCTGGCATTGGAACCAATTCACCAGAGCAAGGCTCACGCTGGCATCCAGGCATTCGTTCTCCGGTGGGAGAGCAATCTATTAGTCTCTTTGCGGATAACATCTTGTTATTCATGGTGAGCCCTGAGAATTCACTACCTAATCAAATTGATCTGTTGTCAAGTTACGGCAAAGTCTTATACTATAAAAACAACATATGGAAAATACAAGCACGTATTGCATTTCGCACAATAAGATTGAAGGTTGAGAGGGGTGGAGGGCCAGGATATTAGGACATACTACAAAGCCACTATAATCTCACAGGTGCGGGCAACTCTATCCAACTCGTTAGCGCCATCTTGCTTAAGACTGGAGGACTCTATGCTCTTAATTTTAACCACCTACCAACTCTAAGCATCTCCATCCCCCTTTGACTATGATACTCCAAACAACTAAACTCTTTATCTGTATAGCATAGGTAGATAGACAGACTGGTGGCACCTGAACCTAAGCTACTATCGGTCCTGTTGATTACTCTCCGACTGTATTCACCAGACCTACACTTCAAAGCGCGGTTAGGGCAAGGAGTAGGCAGATCCAACAGATTGTAACTCATTCCAAGATCAAGATGTTCCTGGATATGCATGCAGAATATACTTTACCTCCTAGGGAACTATTCACCTACCTGAGAAGGTACAGCAAATGTATAAACTTTCTTTAGGCTCATCATGCAAAGTCAAAACTTTAGCTCTCTATTACTCCTTTTGGCAAAAATGCACTGCATACATTACCCTATATGACAAAATAGGAACAGGAATTAAGGAAAAACATCCCATCTGAATAGTGGTATAGAGTAATTTTTCACATAAGGAGAGTATCCCGGAATAGCAATCGCTAGGAGATCCGCAGTAAGGAACTAAAAGAGGTGGTATATGATGCTGCAAATGCTTGCACACATGTTCCCCAATTCATTGCCACAGAATTGGAGATGCTGGTCTAGTGCAGGCACCCCATCATGTTTTCTGGTACTATGCCGCCTGTCCCCCTCAACCATTTTTGGCTACAGATCCAGTCTCTTATCAGAGAGCTGACCAACATATCTCTACCATTTGAACCTGATGCATTCCTCTTAGACCTGTTCACAAATGGGGTGCGTGGATCACATAGAATTCTGACAATGCATGTTTTGGGTAAAGCAAAACTATGCATTGCATGCCATTGGAAGTCCCCTACCCCTCCCATTATCTCCGAGGCACTGGTGACCTTAAATACAACAAAACTGTATGAAGCTATATCACACAGAATAGCCAGCACATTTGAGAACTATGAGAATGTTTAAGGGTCTTGGTATTTGATGCATGGAGTTTTATTTTAATCTATTTTTGCATGTTGCCTGTTTGTCATTGCCAGGGGAGCTGTGGCTGGAGCTGTATAAACAGTTTATTCTATATAACAACTGCATGAGGGTAATATCTAGAGCAGGGGTAGGCAACCTTTTAGCAGCACTGAGCCAAAATAGGATTGTGATGTCCTGTAGCGTGCTGGTCCTATTTATTTAAATTGAGGTGTGTATGTTGCTGTATTCTGCTTGTTACGTATACTGTAGTTGCTTTGTATCGTTGTATTTGTGCGTATATGAGCTATTATATTGTATATGTTTATGAGTAGTTTGTGGTATTGTGGGGCTGTTTGGGGTATTGCATGTGAGAGGCTGCATGTGGGGTTGTGTGTATGTATGTGGATTGTCAGTTGTGTTAGGATTGTGTGTTGTGTTTGTGTGTGGGCTGTTCGTATTATTTGTATGAGGGGAGGGTTATTTTGCAGCTCTGTGTATATCTAGCAGTGTGGGTGGCTTCCCTGGGTTCCAGTGGGGACTAGGATGCCCAGGTACAGCTCAAGGACAGGAGCTGCAACAGCAGTTGCGGGATGCTCTACTCCAGTGTGGATTCCCATTCACAAGTGCTGGAATGAAGTGATCTGAGATAACTTCCTCTACGTGCTGCAATGCATAAATTAAGGATTTCCCTTCACCACCTTTTTGCATTAGCAGATATCTGAAGTTTACCTGGGACTCCTGATAGTCCAGAGCCTGTTTGGCTCTAGCAGCCCTGAGTGCCGTGCAAAGACACCTCGAGTGACGTGCTTGGCACTAGTGCCCTAGGTTGCCTACCCCTGCACTGATTTTTGGTTCAAACTGAACTTTAGTGTGTGAACCAAATGAATAAGTAAAAGTGTGTATGTTTGGTATAATGAGAGAGAATAACTGATTATATTTTGCTTATAGGTGTGCATTTTATTGATCTGTAAGACTGTATAGGATGACTGTTTTCCCTTCATAGCTTTGGCTTGGAGTGGTGGTTAAATGTTTGATTTTGTTCCCAGTCTCTACTTTTTTTATTCACATTTAGTATACAAGTGTAACATATAAGAAAAGGTAGTTACATCTACAGTCAGAAGATTTGGAAGATCCGTTTTATACTTATGTCCCATTAATAGTCTACATAGTATAGACAAAATTAATAAAAATATTTATATAAAAAAAATAATCTAAATCGTAATAGTTTTGACTACTATGTGAAAGGTTCATTCTTTGAGTGTTATCCAAGATGTTTTAAAATGGTCAGCTATCTGCTTTATAATGTGTGTGCTACATAAAGTGTATTTTACATTTTACCTGTTTAATTAATTTTGACAAGTTTGCATTTAGGGGTTTTATTGTCTAATCACATATATAGGATTTTTTTTTTTTAATTATTTTTGGTGAAGGTGTTCTACGTATTGACTTTATGTTTAAACAATAAGCTGTCCCTAATACGGATATAGAAGGTGCTGGCCGTTTAACGTTTATTCTGTTGCCCCGGTCTTCAGTGTTCAGAGAACCAGGTTTTGGTAGTATCTGTAGTGTGAACCTGTGGGTGGATTTAGTGGTTAACTCAGTGGTTCCCAAACCTTTTCAGTTCAAGGCGCCCTTAATATTTCAGTATTTTTCCAAGGCACCCCATGTCAAAATGTCTAGGTTGTATATCTGTACAGCGCTGCAGCATTTACTGGTGCTATAGTGTAATGTACAATGCTGCTGTTTGAAGGTGCTTGTATATAGTTAGTGTTTTAATACAGGGGTGTGTTTGCATGTAATGTTTGCGTTTGATTGCAGGGGTGTGTCTGAATGTAATGTTCACTCTTAACCCCTTAAGGACACAGCTTCAGAAGCTTGACTTACGCTTAATGACACAAGCAATTTTTGCATTTTCTTGCTGTTTGCGTTCAACTGCAATTTGCATCTCTCTCATTTATTGCACCGACACATATTATATACTGTTTTTAAAGGACAGAAAGGGCTTTAATTTGATATAACATATATATATATATATATATATATATATATATATATATATATAAATGCTTACTTATTATAAAAAAAATACAGAAAAATGCAAAAAAAATGAAAAATATTGTTTTGTTTTTTTACAGTTTTTGCAATAATAATGTGTGCATAATTAGTGCAGGTTAAGGAAAGTAATTAAAAATAAATTTATTTATTTGTTCTGATTTACAGAATGTATAATGTGTCTGGGATTTTAAGTTTTTTTTGGTAGTTACAGGTCACAAAGCACAAGGAGTAAAATAAACTTTTAATGTGGAGCGATTTTTAGAATTTGGTATGTTTGTCTTGTAAGCTTAATAGCCATAAAAGAAAACAAAATTGCCACACAAAAGTATATATTTATATAAAGTAGACATCACGGGCTATTTACCTAAGGTTGTTTTGACACTTTCTACGTAGCCATATTACCGCCAACCTCTGCTAAATATTGGAGTAAAATTGTGTTCTTTTTTGGTTTTTGGCACACAAACTTATAACAAAGAAATTCTCGTGTATATTTTGTAAAGTTGGTGTGTGCTATTCCTGTACAAAGTTTTATTTTGTGTTCAGTTACATCTGCTGAGTAAAATGACACCCCATTGTATGTCTTTTGCACTATTTCGTGAAGTTACAGTGCCATACAGGATACCTGTCCTTTTCAGTATTCACAGTAGAATTTTGAGAGATGAATTTAATGAGCCTTAGCTTCCATTTGGGGTATTATAACAGTTTGACTGTTCAAAAAATCCCCACAAAGGCCTACCATTTGTAAAAGTAGACACTCCAGGGTATCTTATAAAGGTGCATATTGTGCCTTAACATGCCCCCATTTTTTCACCAATATATGCCAAAGTATGTGGTAAAAAATAATTTTGTGCATTTTTTACATACGGATTGCATTTTTGCTGGGCGTTTTGTATATTTCATATTTGCCACTAAGTTCAAACCCCCCAAATTATGCTCAGCTAAGTCTTCTGAGTAAAATGACACCCCATATGAATGTCTTTGTCACTATTTCGTGAAGCTACAGTCCCATATAGAAGACCTGTCCTTTACAGTATTCACAGTAGAATTTTGAGAGATGAATTTAATGAGCCTTAGCTTACATTTGGGGTATTATAACAGTTTGACTGTTCAAAAAAACCCCACAAAGGCCTACCATTTGTAAAAGTAGACACTCCAGGGTATCTCATAAGGTGCATATTGTGCCTTAACATACCCCCATTTTTTCACCAATATATGCCAAAGTATGTGGTAAAAAAATTTATTACATTTTACATATATATTTTTATTTACTTGCTTGGCATTTGTATATTTCACTTATAATACACCACTAAGATTCCAAACCCAGCCCAAATTGTAACTCCCAGCCCCAAGTCTTCTGAGTAAAATGACACCCCATATGAATGTCTTTGGCACTATTTCGTGAAGCTACAGTGCCATATAGGAGACCTGTCCTTTACAGTATTCACAGTAGATTTTTGAGAGATGGATTTAATGAGCCTTAGCTTCCATTTGGGGTATTATAACAGTTTGACTGTTCAAAAAACCCCCACAAAGGCCTACCATTTGTAAAAGTAGACACTCCAGGGTATCTTATAAAGGTGCATATTGTGCCTTAACATGCCCCCATTTTTTCACCAATATATGCCAAAGTATGTGGTAAAAAATAATTTTGTGCATTTTTTACATACGGATTGCATTTTTGCTGGGCGTTTGTATATTTCATATGTGCCACTAAGTTCAAACCCCCCAAATTATG